AAAAAGCTAGTACRCGTATACACAGCATAGTATAACTGATATGCAAATCCAAAGGTCAATATTTCAAGCCCTAGGGACCGACACGAGTGAATCAAACCGCCCTTTGGCGAACTCGTGGATACTAGTTGACGTTCCAGAGATTGGGCTTCCTGTGTCYTTATAGTTGTTGACATTCGAAGGTTTCAAAGTGCTTCGCTAAATTTCATATTTTAAATRCTCAATTTACCTATTCGGTGCCCAGAACATTTTRGGTTTRGAATACTTCACGCATAAAGACGGCTGACTAAATTTCCCGAAGGCTCTCCTGAAAATAATTTTAATATGGCAGAGTAGAAGGCAGGAGTTTGACCTTCAATGAATAATTWTAAACAAAGAATTCCAAATATATCCTTTCTCTACTTGCCAAAGAATACTAGACAGTGTTCTGTGGAACGTTTTGATCTTGTTTCGAAGATTTACGTCTCTGACCTAAAGTTTTGTGCGTTTTTTTCAACCCGAAAACTTTAATTWACGTGCATAGGCCTTCAAGGTAAAAAAAATTAAATTTTCACTGTCGTTTGCATCTGGAGTGAATATTGTCTTAACCCAGCTAAGGAATTTAACTACAGTAATAAAAGAAATAAAACTGAATGCCCATAATTTTACCAATTGTTTTTTTTATTTTACTTCCTCGAAAGATATGATTAGCTGATCTATCTGTCATTCACACCTCACAAGCTTTGCTTGTAGCATGCTGACAACTACATTATTGACTTATACCTTCCTTTCCTTCAAGTCCAGAAAGCAGTAATTTACYAGATCATGTGATAAAAGCCAACTGGGAGCATTTTGATAAACTAGCATCATTAACCAATCATGCATATTGCGACATTTAGTCAATATTTTTAACAAGTCAATCAGATAACTCATCGATATAAGAACGTGATATAAGAGCGTGAGAACGTGAAAATCTGATTGGCTAACACTCCTATGAGTTCAATCCCTGTGTAGTTTACTGTTATCTGATTGGTCAGTTTTATTTAAGTGTGTGCTCACAGCAATTTTAACAACCTAGAAATAGTATCGATAATATGGAAACCCTTTTTTCGCTCGTGTGTTTTTCAAAGAGTTTGAATACCACTCAGCCTATCTGCTCGTGCTATTTTGAAGCTCTTTTTTAAACCCACTCGTTCAAATTCAAATTCCAAATGGTACTGGAAACGACTGGAAACCATAAGATTATCAATACTAATATTGAAACACTATTAGTTTAATAATAAGTTCAAATCTACATACTTTTTTCCAAGATCTATGCCAAAGTGTAACTAAGTCGTTCTTACTTTACTTTCCTTTTTTTACAGTTAGATTCCAAAAATCTTTAAACGGCACTAGCACTATAATATCGAGCTATGTAGTAGAGTGAAGGCATTTAACCCGTGAAATATAAAAAGGCCGGTCAATGTGTAATACTTTTAAAAATCGACGCAAAAGAAAACAATAGAATTAGGGCCTACCAATGTGTATCAGTGAGACAGTTGTGCTTGTTGTGCTTTACATATATGGTGTTGGTACTTCTATTTGTTAAACAGTGGTTTTCATAAACCCGTGGAATACACACCAGTTTCATACAAATTAGTAGACCCTAATAGACCATTTCACAGATCCCTCGGCTCAACCTCAGCCTCGTCAGCGTGTAATACATTCTTTAGAAATTGCCTACAACCTGTGAAATTTTTAAGCGTTCCAATTGTTCGTTGATGTGTAAATTCCTTTCATTACTGCGGACTGTAGTCAAATTCTAAAGAATAAGTACAAGCTGACGAGGCTGAGGTTGAGTAACGGGATCCGTGAAATGGCCTATTCCATTGTGTTCTCAGTTGTCATTTCACTATTACACRCTAACTAATGGTATTTGCTTCAGGGATTTATGAAAATCACTGTATCATTGAAAAGTGTACGTACTAACTAGTACTAAAATACCACTGACAATATAACAAAACATAAAGGACATTTTGTTATGTAATATTTACAGATCTAGTACTGTTTCATGGGTGGATCCAGGAATTTGTTCATTCGCTTTTTTTTTATACTATCTATTATTTCTACCAAAAATCTGATGAAAATTTACTTGTCAGCTTTTATCTACGAAGCTGTCTCAT